TAAAACTTTCCTCGTTGCTTTATCTTTTTCAAAAACTTTCTTTCTTGGCACCTCATGGAAGAACAATCCTTCAACAACATCAACAATTCGCCTTTTTGACTTCTTGTCTTTTCTACTAGCTATTTCATCATTTCGTTTTTTGGGGTTCACATCTTGTGATTTTTCTTTCACCTGCTTTGGGAAATGGACGAATATTTTCAGGGGAGACAAATGGTGTAGCTTGAGGCTTCTTGTTTTGTTCCTCAGTTTTTCCAACAGACAAAGATCTTACATAAGACGACAAATAGTCCATAAAAGTAGATGAAAATCCATATCTGGAAATGACTTCTTCTAATATATCAAAAAATATTTTCACGTTTTCTGGAATGAAACTAGTTATCCTAGTTAAAGTTGTAGCTTCAGGAGCTGTAATGGATAATGACGAGTTTTTCTTCATAAAATTTAAAAACCAATCTTTACCATTTCATTTATAGCATATATATATTTAAATGTGTTGATGTATTAAGTAGATAGTATTAATAGTATGACTTTAAAAATATTATATCCGTTATATCGAAATTATATTGTATTATTAATATAAATATTTTTTTAGAGTTTTGATGTGGATCCATTTAAACCTCGATTGGAAATTCACGCATATGCCGGACCGATGGAAAAAAAAGAGGCTGATAAATTTCGTAAAATTTGGAAAACTCCACCACGTTCGATTTCAAAACAATCATTCGACCGAAAACGTCGCCTCTCAAACAGTTTAGACTCGGATTTTTCTTACAATTTAAAGCTGCGTGATCCCGAGAAAGGTTTAGAAACGGTTGGACGTGAATTAGCAACGAAATACAACGTAAATTGGAAAGAGTATTGGCCGTTTTTAGATGATTTCGTCGATTTGTGTTCGGATGATGGTTTAAAACGCTTTGAAACGTTTTTATCGCAAAAAGTAGATACAAATTTTTCGAATCACAACTCTCCCAAACGGTTAGTTTTTGAAACTAAACCGGCTGATAACTCAAATAATTCCACGATGGAAAGTTTGTGTCGAAAATTGGAGTCAATGTGTATTTTGGATGATTCCTCGATTATTTTAAATGAAAATCCCGACTTTGTTTGTCCTTACGTGTGTTTGGAGCGATCATTAAAAATTTTTGCAACTCGAATTTCGAACGTTTTAAAAAAATTTAATAATTTTATTAATTTCCAAAGCTCTTTAACGGCTGAAATTAAACTTTTCGAACAATTAATCGTTAGTTACGTGGACGATAAACGCTTCGTTGACGTGAATATGCAAAAATCGCACCACCGTTTAGCCGTTTTGATCGCTTCTGGTGGTTTTTTAACGCAAGAAATTCAAATAAAAATAACCGAAATTTTAACGTTGAATTTAGAGATTAATAAACATTTAGAATGCGTTTTAAAAAACGTTTTGAGCGCTCCTAATCATTTTACGACTATGTGTGAAGAAGAAAACTCTCAAAAAATGTGGGAAAACACGGAAGAATGTTGTTGTATTTTTGTAACAAAACCAACAAAATTAAAATATAGTTTAAGAAGAAAAAACAACGGTGTTAAAACAACCGGAAACGCCAATAACAACTCGTATTTTAATAATGTATCTAAATCTCTGTTTAAAGTAAAAAATTCCAATCTTAAAAACGACGATCTTTTTACTTTTAATAGCACTTCTTCGGATGATTCTTCAGAAGATGATGAATTTTTTACACCACCCTCTAGTCCATCATTAATGATGAACGATTTCGACGAAGATATTGACGAATATGATAGTTTTGACGACAGTTTTTTACCGGAAACCGACGTTTTTATAGAAGGGTAACAAAAATGATAATAAATTAATCAAATTTGAATCAATTTTCTTTTAGATCTGAACCAAGCAAAATAGACAGAGACGTTTACAACGCTTTAAAACAAGCCTCATCGAAAATAAACCCACACGATTTTCCTAACATTTACAAATGGAGACATACTTTAAGTTTTTATACGGAATTCGAACAAGAAAATTGGGCAAGTCCAAAACCAGGGGGAAATTTGGGGAATTTAAAAACATCCACTCCGTGTAAAATTAATGCGAATCTTAGTTTTAATTCGCCCGCATCGCCAAAGTCATGGTTTAGAATAACCGGACTGAATTCTCCCAGAGCTAGCTTAAATATGAATAGGACTAGGTTAAGTTTTAATGAGTAAATGGTTTGTTGATATTGTATTAATTTGTTAAAAAAAAATACAAATAATATTTTCTTATTGATATTTGATTAATAAAGTAAATTATTTTAATTCCAAGGAGGGTAGAATTTAAAAATTTTATTGATGGAGCAGGGTTAAATTTGAAACTTTCTAGTTCGTGGAATAGTGTTAGTTCTAGTGATGGTGTTGAAATAAACCTAGAACTAACACTTGACTTAGAACTAGAAATATTCGAGTTTAGCCATGTTAACTCTTACTGGTGCAGTGGTACAAAAAATAAACCACCTAAATTTTCACCCAACTGACCACCAATTCATCAAAATTATTTTCCTACTTTCGCAATAACCAGCTCAAATCCGACACCATATTCTCTGTTTCAACTATTTTTAGGTTTTTCAGGCAACCTTGAAGAACAAATGCGTACTAGAAAACATTACAGGAGAACGACGTGCGGAGAAATAAATGTTTTTTTTTTAGGAATTAATTTACTTATGAGGATCAAGCATTGGCCAAGTTACAAAGATGCACCAGATCTACGTGATTCTTACATTAGCTCTCTTATGACGCAAAAAAGATTTGGTTGAATATTAGGACACTTGCATATCAATCATTATTCTGCTATGCCTAATAGTGATTCGGAATATTTTGATCGTCTTTATAAATTATAACCATTATTAGATCATTTAGAAAAAGCTTTTAAGTATTGTCTTTTATCAAATGAAGTATTAGCCTTAGACGAGTCGATGATCAAATTTAAAAGTTCAGATCAAACTTCTGCTATATTTATATAATATTTATGTTGGAAAATCCCAGGATTAACTTTTACGTACACCTTTTATCAAATTACCACGATAATCCCCAGTAACGCGCTCAGTGCGCTACCCCCAACGTAAAAAAACGACAAACGACAAAAAAATAATAAAAGCCGCCGACGCACTGTGAACGGTATTCATAACTTGTTATCTGACTGTAAAGGAAGGTTTATTCTCGTATAGTGTAGCTGCGCCTTATAGACCCTGGCGGGAGTAGGCGGTTACATAACGAAGGAACCGACTACCCCTTTTTTTGTAAGTACCTGTCACGGTGATTTACCACTGCACAAATTCGACGGCTCGACTATAGGTCTAGTGTTAGTTCTTGTTTTGTATCTGTAGAACTAACACTAAATCTAGAACTAGAAACATTCCGGTTTAATTGATTTCAGATGAAATCAGTGATTTTAAAAAATATATCTGTACCTTAGGGGTAAAGAATCGTAACTCCAGTTTTTGTCAATATCGAGTTAATTATTATAAAACTTATTATAATAGTATTATAAAGCTTTAAACCTTGTTTTCTAAAAAACTTAAAATAATGGAGATACAATCCTTTACCTCTAAGATACAGGTATATAAAATTAATTTTTGACTTCGGAAATTTTAGATTTGGTATAACCTAACCTCAAACGTTTGTTTATAACCTCAAAAAGTTTCATTTCTTAAACCCTTCCCGTTTTGGAGAAAATAATATTTTTCTTTAACCTCGATTTCAATTGATTTCAAAATCAGCGATTTTAAAAAATATATATAAAATTAATTTTTGAGTTTGGAAACTTCAAATTTGGTATAACCTAACCTCAAACGTTCCATTATAACCTCAAAAAGTTTCATTTCTTAAACCCTTCCAGTTTTGGAGAAAACAATTTTTTTTTAACCTCGAATTCAATTGATTTCAAAATCACCGATTTAAAAAAAATATATATAAAATTAATTTTTGACTTTGGAAACTTCAAATTTGGTATAACCTAATCTCAAACGTTCCTTTATAACCTCAAAAAGTTTCATTTCTTAAACCCATTCCGTTTTGGAGAAAATAATATGTTTCTTTAACCTCGATTTCAAATGAAATTAACGATTTTAAAAAATATATTATATAAAATTAATTTTTGACTTTGGAAACTTCAAATTTGGTATAACCTAACCTCAAACGTTCCTTTATAACCTCAAAAAGTTTCATTTCTTAAACCCTTCCCGTTTTGGAGAAAATAATATTTTTCTTTAACCTCAATTGATGTCAAAATCAGCGATTTTAAAAAATATACAGGGTGTATCTGAATGACGTGCTCAAACTTCAGGGGTGATTCTTTAGGCAATTTTAAGGGTACTTTCTTATATAAACTATGAGCGATTTCGACTCCCCTGCGGAGCTATGCCTCTTCAAAAATGGCGAAAAATTTTGATTTAATTTTTTTTTCTCAAAAACCATAAACGCTAGGAAAATGAAATTTGGGGAATATGTTTAACTCATAATAGGGCACGTTTTGACCCTATTTGTACTTGCAACCTACTCTTCTAAACTACTAAACATAACCACCTCCTTTACATTTTTGCTAAAATTTTTTGTATGAAGATGATAAATACATTAGGAAAATTTTACATAGATAGTACCTAAAAGATACTTTCACTAAAGCAAATACTTCCCGTTAAATAACGAGGTTGCCAATCAAAAGTTGAATGAAGTTTTAATATAGAAATCTTGGTAGGGTTTGCAATCTTTGTCAAAAATATTTTTGACGTTTAAATGTCAGTGCTTTTCTTACTATTATTATTGTTTTTAAAATTAATTTTTGAATAAACTTCTATCGCATTTACGCTCGTTCATTAGACGTTTCAAAATTTAAATAAAACAAATTAAGATCCTAAAAAATCAATGAAAGTGAGCCTCCTAATGTGGTTTCCCCCTTAAGCATTCAAAAAAATGCAATGTGAGTTAGGCAACTTATTTAACATAACCTAACTTTCTAAAATTTTTATTTTTTCGTTTAAAGCTGAAAATCCCCTGCATTAATTTACTTGGAAAAAACGTTAAGTAGGTTTAAAACCGGTGTAATTTATAAAAATCCACCAGTTTATCAGAATCATATGATTCATAATCCCAACAATGACGTTTTGAATGTTCGTGTTGATAAAACTGCGCGAACTTAACCAAGAAATACAAGAATTTTTTTCAAGATAAAGTTATAATTTAGAGTTATTTTTTTCTCAAAATGACTCACTTTCAATCGGCTTTACCCAACAGAGATTTTCTTTGGTCCGTTTTTCAAAGGTAAACAAAAAGAAAATTACACCTAACCTCAATTTCACACCCATTTTAATAAAATAATTTTAATGTTTATTAAATAGGGTTGATCGCGATCGAAGTGGTTGGATAAACGCAGATGAGCTTCAATCAGCTTTATCAAATGGAACTTGGTCCCCATTTAACCCAGAAACTGTTCGATTAATGATCGGTAAAAATTAATTTTTCTTTAATTATCCAATTTAATCAATAATAATTTTTAGGAATGTTTGATCGACATAATAAAGGACAAGTAAATTTCGATGATTTTGGCGCTTTGTGGAAATACGTAACCGATTGGCAAAATTGTTTTCGTTCCTTCGATCGAGACAATTCAGGAAACATCGATAAAAACGAATTAAGAACTGCTTTAACTTCATTCGGATATCGGCTATCAGAACCTTTAATTGATATTTTAATGAGAAAGTTTGATCGACATGGGCATGGTACCATTTTATTCGATGATTTTATTCAATGTTGCATCGTATTATACGTAAGAATTTTTTTTTTATTTAATTTTAATCAAATTTTATTGATTTATACATTAATTTATAGACTTTAACTTCTTCATTCCGACAGTATGATACAGACCAAGATGGTATTATTACAATACATTATGAGCAATTTCTCACCATGGTTTTTAGTTTAAAAATTTAAACATTTTCGTTCTTTTTTTATGTGGGGTTACAATAAATATATATATACGTATTTTATATGGTTAATATTACGATTTAACTCAGTTTAGATTTTCAAATCGTTCCAAAAGATATTTGAGGCTTAAATGATTTAAAAATTAAAAAAAAATTGGTGTTGGTTACATTTATTTTCAATCTAACCTAATTAATATAAAATAAATCTATATAATCTGATTTATTGGTTTAAATTCTACGGAAATACACTGTATTAATTAATTCTCCTACTTGAAGTCATCATTGCAAGTATGCAACCAATATCGCAGTATTGGTATCGCAATACGCGATTTGCGATATTGGTTGCATACTTGCAATGATGACGTCACGTACGATAATTAATTAATTAACACATTGTATTCACAAAAAAGCATTTTTCCATCCTCCACGTAACCGTTTACTAAAATACTCCACAAGAGGTTTTAATTCCTCCCTTTCAGCTAAATTTAAAACCTCCTGAGAATCTAAATTGTGATCATATAATTCTCTTCCATAAACTTTCTTCCAATTCCTTTTAAACTTTTTGGAATTAAACCCAATCCACTCTGTGTATCGATGCGTTTTCGTCCGAATTGAATATCCCATTACTTTAATATTTTTTAAGCGGGGTTTATCACTATTTGGCATTAACGAAGGGAACGTTCCTGGACGAGGATATTGCATAAAAACCGCGTCTTTATCTGTAACATTCTATAAATACTTGGAATTATAATTTAAAAGAAATATAGTACAATTTTTTTGAAGGTTTTTTAATAAGGTTATCACGACATATAGATAATTGCGATTTTAATAACATAGAACCATGTTGCATTTAGTATCAGAGATCAAGAAGTTTCTAAACATTATCAATCGGTTTAAAACTTTAAATACAAACGAAGTTAATAAGATTGAATGAACAAATCAAAAAGATAACGGAAAATTTAAGTTTTGTGGAAAACAACATCCGTTTAAAAAAGATGTTTGTCAAGCATTGAAACATATTTGCAAAGTTTATAAACGAAAAGGACATTTTGAAGCATTTCACGATAGGAATTCAGATAAAAGAAAAGTAAAACAGAAACAGGTAAAAGAAGTTGAAGCTGAAGAGGAAGCGATATTAAATCTAAAATTTAATGAATTATGGGAAAAAGTTTCATGTGATATGAATACTAGATCAAATGTTTAACAAATGTAAAACTTTGGGACTAGTTAAATTTTGTAATGAAGTAGTTCACAAACAAGAAGATAACGGGAATTTGTTAAAAAATGCTAAAACCATTGTAAAAGAATATAATGGTCTATTTGAATTGAGAATTGCCAGGAGAGATTGATTTGGAAATAGATCCAACCAGTGTCAAAATTCATTTTGATTTAAAAAAATTAAAAAATGCATTTTAATTAAAAAAAATATATATAATCAAAGAAATATAAATAAACTTAAAAAAGACTGGAATAATCCTAATCCATACTTCAGTAAAAATTTAAGAATTATACTGGTGAAAACCCAAACTTAAAGGAATAGTCGGGAATACTCTGGTCAGAAGGTTAATTTGCAAGAAAAAGTCTGAAATTGCAATAGTTATAAACTAGACTTCAGCAAAAAACAGGAATTACATTGTTCAAAGTCTACATGAAGTCTGAAATTACTGTTCAGAGAAAACAAAAATTGATTATAAACCAAACATGATTTTTCATGGCAATACTTATGTGTTCAATAAAAGAATGCGAAGAATATGAACAAGAAACCAATGGACTTGTCTTGTTATTG